GAAAGAAAGAAAGAAAGAAAGAAAGAAAGAAAGAAAGAAAGAAAGAAAGAAAGAAAGAAAGAAAGAAAGAAAGAAAGAAAGAAAGAAAGAAAGAAGCGATTTCTTAATCGTATTCTGCCTTTTCCTCTGCTGTCCCTTCCCCTGCTCTGTACTCTGAAATGAAGCTACCTCAGTCTAATAAAGTTTACTTTTCCCACACGCAGCTCCTCTAAGCTCTGAGCGAAATGGGAATACCTCGGGTTCAGGGAAATGTGCGAGGTGGGGAGGGGGAAGCCGGGGACGGGGGAAGGAGGAGGAAAGAGAGGCCTCCACTCGGGGCCAAGCTGCGGAACTGCTCCCCGCGATGCCGCGAGGCCCCCGGCGACGGCGGGACCGGGGCCGCTCTCGCCTCTCTGTGCGGGGCGTGGGGACACGGCGGGGACCGAGCCGCGATATTTCGTAACGCAGAGGGCAACGAGGCTTTAGGGACCTGAGCAGCATCCTCGTCCTCAGGGGAACCCTTCCCGGCAAGGAAGCAGATCCATTGTAGTGAAATATTAACTGGAACGAACTTGGGGTCCGGGAGAGGGGAAATGCGAGTTTCTAAATGTTCAGGAACAGTTCCATAAAGCTGACGCAAGTCAGCACCAAAAGGAAGTGCGATTTTCTTTCTTTCTTTTTCTTTTTTTCTTTTTCTTTCTTTCTTTTTTCTCTTTTTTTTTTTTTTTTTTTTTTTTTTTTTCCCCCGTAAGAGTCCTGGGACGATCCCTGAGTGGAGGAGGGGATATTCCAGGGGGCAAGGAAGGGACAAGAAAAGCTCGTGAAGGCCCTGGGGCGACCGCGGGCACCCGCAGCTTTGAGCAGGGGGGCAGCACTTTCTGCTCCTGCGGAGCGGGGCGGGAGGAGGGAGGCAGCCCGGATACAGCCCTGACCTTTTTACCTCGAAACGCCTCTGGGATTTCTAAACAAGTAAACAGAGGGGCTGCCAGGAGAAACTATTGTTCTGGCTTCGTCAAATTTGCAAACCTTTTTGGTGGGGACGTGCGCGGGGCGAGGAAGGAGCCAAGTACCTGCGGCAGCGGCTCTGGCCCCGCAGCGCCGCTCGGTCCGGGCGCGGCCCCTGCCCGGCCCCGCGGAAGCTCCCGGGGCGACAGATCATCGCTCTTCCCCCGGCGATACCATCTCGCGCTGTGTAATATACTTCTCTGCCTCGAAAGGAAAGATTCTGAGTATCCAATTAGTCCAGAGATAAGAGAAAAAATGAAGGGTGGCGCAGGAGGTGAAAAGAGAATTTTGTTACACTAGCAGTTTTCAAAACATAAAGAGAGGCGGGGAGGGGGGGAAGAGAGAGGCAGTCGGGTTGACTTAGTAACCTGTTAGGGTGAACGAGCTTCATTTAACCTATTCGTTGAACCAAAGTGCCTGAAGGCTCTGTTGAACTGAGGCGATCTGACCTGGCTCACTGAAGCAGGGGTTGTTCTTGGGGAGCCCATGGGCTCCCTCCGCCTCACTCCGGACCCGGGCGCTCCCTGCGAAGGGCAGCGCCAGGTGCGGAGGGGCCCGAGCCGGCCCGAGCGGCCGGGGAGCGGAAAGACGAGGACAAAAAGGGGGTTACTGATGTGTCAGTGTGTCGGGCACAACAAAGGCTCTCGAGGGCCCATTTGAAACTCAAAGGGAGTCTCCGGAAGAGTCCGCAAAGACGGTGCCGCTGCGCCCTTACATATGTAGCCCCCTCCAGGCCTCCCCTCGCCGCTCCCTCTGCCCCCGTGGCTGCCAAGCGCGGGTCTTTCACCGCACACCGCTAATCTCTCCCTCCTCCCGAGTTTCTCACGCTCTCTTTTGTCACCAGAGCCCGAAACTCACTGCTGTGAAGCAGGAGCCGGCTGGAAAGGCCAAGCCAGGACAAGCTCAGCTGGGGGTCCCTGGCCTGGGAACAGATGCTCCTGGGAAGCAACCAGGGACACACGTGGCCGCTCCGCACCCGAGAAGCAGCTCGGGAGCCGGGGCTGCTGCTTCGCTGCCATGCAGGTACCTATGGCGCTATACGCGCCATGCAGGTACCTATGGAGCCAGACGYGCTGCGATCGCACACTCCTCACCGAGCACCTCGGAGCAGACCGCACCGAAAGCTCACTCGTATCTCTGCGGACCTACATGCCTACACCTCTTCCACCTCTTCCTACACCTCYATACATAGTCCTAACTCGGACATTATCAGGCACTTCCCCAACTATCCAGTCTACCTATCCACCTTTGTTACATATACACACAACGTGCCTCTTCGTATCCCTTATACTCCCACATCTGCAAGTCTATCTGTCTGTTGGTCCTTAGTACTGCATTTTTCATGAGTGGGAAAATTAGCCAAGTCCCCCTGTACATCCACGCACGAAGCAACATCTTAATGGAGATTTATTCCTTTAATAGCCCCAAAGAACAGGAAAATCTCAGTTAAAGAGAAGTAACGGTGTAAATTATTAACGGGCGTGTGGGCCTGGGAGGAGGGTTGGGTCTGCGGTGGCTCCGGGCCTGGCGCTGCGGCCTGGCGGAGCCGGGGCTCTCGAGCCATCTGTTCCTCACCCCTTGGTGAGAAATGTTGCTCTTCTCCCTAAAGCATTTGTTCTCACAATGTGAGGCCCTTTTGATCTCAGAAGAGGACATTCTATTAAAAAAGATAGTACCCTGAAGGCTTCCTTACTTTCAACTCCACTTTGCCGGCTGCTATTAACTCTGCTCCCGGAGCCTCTTTGCACGGAAGGTGTGAAGCCCTCCCGGGACAGCAGCTCTCCCAGCAACAACGTGCGGCAGCTTTGGCTCTTCCCAGCCCCTGGGAGCCTTTGATGCCTTGGAGAAGAAGGTTCGAAACCTTCCTGATTTCTCCACACATTTTCACACCATGAAATTAGAAGGAAACCACCTCTTCCTCAGCTCCTCACTCAGCAGACCCAGAGCAAGATGCAGGAAAGACATTTCCATCATCGGCAGCGAGTCAGGACCAAGCCAGGCTGCACAATGTCCACAGCCTGCTAAAGCGCTAATGCTTCAAAGGGAGTTAATACCTCCTGAAGCAGGTAAAGGGGGAGGGCTTTTCATGCCTTATAAATTTTCTCAGCTTTTTTTTTTTTTTTTTTTGTGGATGAGTGGCCAGTCAGGTGGATTGAGGACTGACTGGATGGCAGAGCTCAGAGGGTGGTGATAAATGGGGCTGAGTCTAGTTGGAGGCCTGTGGCCTTGATGTCCCACAGAGATCAGAACTAGGCCAAGTGCTGTTCAACTTGTTCATCAGTGACTTGGACGAGGGCACAGAGCACACCCTGAGCAAGTTTGTGGATGACACCAAGCTGGGTGGAGTGGCCAACACTCCRGAGGGCTRTGCTGCCATCCAGAGGGATCTGGACAGGCTGGAGAGTTGGGCAGAGAGGAACCTCATGAGGTTCAATGAGGACAAGTGCAGGGTCCTGCACCTGGGGAAGAATAACTCCAGACACTAGCACAGATTAGGGGTTGACCTGCTGGAGAGCAGCTCTGCAGAGATGGACCTGGGAGTTCTGGTTGACAACAAGTCAACTATGAGCCAGCAGTGCCCTCGTGGCCAAGAAGGCCAATGGGATCCTGGCTACATGAGGAGGATGTTGACAGCAGGTGGAGGGAGGGGATCCTGCCCCTATACTCAGCTCTGGGGAGGCCGAACCTGGAGTATTATGTGCAGTTCTGGGCTCCCCAGTGCAAGAGGGATGTGGAGCTTCTGGAGAGGGTCCATCGGAGGGCAGCCAAGATGATTAAGGGACTGGAGCATCTGTCTTATGAGGAAAGACCAAGTGAGCTGGGATTGTTTAGCCTGGAGAAGAGAAGGTTGAGAGGGAATCTGATCAACATGTATAAGTACCTGAGGGGAA